CTTCGCTGCTCAGAGGGTTAGCTAGTTGCGAATACTTCTGGTGATTTGCCCTGGCCTGTCCATAACCCTAGACGTATTTAACTGCATTGTGGTCCACTCAGAACATTTATTAAGATGAAAAGATACATATTTGAGATCATTGTTTTTAGATAATACTTGAGAGTTCGATTACCTGGAAATGTTCATGAGTTGAATGTATTTAAGTAATAAAAAAAGGGGGAGGGGAACAAAATGATTTGATCTTCTTGATTGATTGATTTTTCTTGTATTTGAAGGATTTTGCCCATTGTTGCAGATACATTAAAGGAAGTTAAAATGCTTGAAATGTACATATGAGGATTGGAGGTTTAATACATTAAATACAAATCTTAAGCTTACTAATTCCACACTGAAGCTTACTAACCCCAATCCAACGAGGTAGACATACTTCTGAGGGAAAAAAAAAAGTAATTTTTGATTTGCAGCTATTTTTAATCTTGCTTTAGATTTTATACATGATAGATGCGAAATATGCACATAGAATGTACGTATTGTTCTAATCTGTGGCTAATGAGATGAGTAAAGACTTGATGCATATTTAAACTGAGGATGTATTGTAAGGGGTAAAATTGAAGTTATGTGTGTATGCTAGTGCCGAGAATTCTTCTCTTTATTACAAGTATCTAAATTGGTGATGGGTATTGTTGGCACTGTTTTTGTGATTCATTAGTCATGCTTCAATTTGAAATTGTTCAAAAGCCGGTAAGTCATAGGACTAACGGTAATACTGATAATTCCATCAATTATGATTATCCAAATTCAACAGTCTTTTGTTCTGTAACCGTGGTAACACTTGCCTCTTTCAAGATGGAAAAAAAAGAAAAAAGTCTGTTTGAATGTGTTTTGCGGCTTTTGGAATTTTTCTGTGTTGACAATTCATTTTGACATTTGATTTTCACATAGTGCCCTGAACAGTTGAATAATGCAAAGGTATCATATTAAATTGAACTTTTTTTTCTGCGTTAATGAAAGCTGTAATTATTTGCTCTGAAATCACAGTGAGTACTCGGACGGATTTTATACCGCTTGTATTATAAAGAAATAGCTGCTAGGTTTTGATGAAGAGTGATTTGCCTTCTCCCAGTCTGGGTTATGATTGTGTTTTATGTTAGCCCACTTATGTATTATAATTACTCCATCAACTACAATTCAAAGACACTGGTGAGGTGATGTTATGTTCATGTGCAGGTTGTACATTTAATTGATTGGTCCGATCTTTGCAACTTGCAGCAAGTTCACGTGTCTTAAATTTAAGGCTGTGTGTGTGATCATCTTGGAAATCATCTTGGAAATCTCTTCTACTTGTGGTTGTCTGATTAAGCTGGAATTTTCTAAAAATTTGATGTGTTATTACACAGAATGGTCTTTCTAAGCTAAGCAATAAAATAGACAGAGGTACAGCACCGTACTCAACTTAACGTATACATTAAAGATGAGAGAAATCAAATCCTAAAACAGAACTCCTAGAAAAACACTCAATGCACATCAGAAAAGCCGAATATTGCTGTTTCACTCGGAGGAGTCTGGATAAATTATTTCATCTTTAGAGGAGTGTATTATATCGTTCGCTGTAATGTCTGCTTATGCATTAAAACGTTATCTTATTGTATTGAGGTTCTATAGTGATCACTGTCTTAATGGCTTGAAAAGCATTTTCGGGAACTGTAATTGGTTGTGGAAATTTTTTTTTGCAATAAATGTGAAAATTGGTAACAAAATATTTACTTGAATTGTGTTTGTTGTTCTTTCTGGGTTATATTTTGATGGAAATGTATGTAAGCTCTATGTGTTACCTATCACAGCAAACTTAATTTTCAGTTTCATTTTGTGTATATTGAAGGAATGTCGTGAATGTAGACACATCTAATGACAGACATAATTATAACAATTCTTCAAGCCAACTTGACGCACTAAAAGATTGAACACGCGCGCAGTACACAAACTTTTCAGCGGTTATTCTATTACACGTGCGTGTTTGTATGGAATGGCGCGATACGCAGAGTGAGGTTGTTGCCATGGATCGACCAATCAGGATCGAGGATTCAAATTTACTTGAAGATAAGACTTTTTTTTAATCAAATTCTCCACTAAAACTTGTACATTATCATACCAAAAAAAGTAACCATGATTTTCCAATACGTTTTATGTAAAATAAGATGATCATTTATTTGTTTCCATTACATTTTATTATTTACATCAGTATATCTTATTATACACAAGGAGATAAACAAAACTCAGAAGATTATTATTACATTTTAATATTAGATGCTCATTTATTTGTTGCCATTTCATTTAATTATATACATCAGTACGTCTTATTATACACAAGGAGATAAACAAAACTCAGAAGATTATTATTACATTTTATTATTTACATCAGTATGTCACATTATACAAAAGGAGATAAACAAAACTCAGAAATGAGAAGTATCAAACTACGGTAGAGACAAAATATACCACTTAATGGGCTCGAAAGTTACACAAACACTTTAACAAAAACAAAACTAGGTTTGTGTAGACGTATCGCTTGCAATTCCAAGCGAATACATCATGGAGTCAGTTTTTATTAGGACTTCCATTTATAAAATGCTTGAATGCAAAGTGAAAATTATTGTCAGAAATCTTTACTATTTTTTGATATGTCCGCACATTCCTCGTGACTAAATGTAGGTGTCTGTTCCCCCCCCCCCAAAAAAAAATAACATTTTATGTACTTGTGTAAATTTCTTTTAACCTTGTGTCCCACAATTTTCACAGCTAGCTTACTACTGCAGTCAACAAACTAAAATATCACTCTTGAATTAAAAGAAAAATATTAATAATCCTTCAAAACCGTAAAAGGAATGTGGGCGCTGGTGTATGAAACAGAAAACAGTATTTCTCTTCACCCACTCACTGTACATGTAGATGCACAGGGAAATAAAATATAAAGGAAGTTGATTGTTCAGAACGAATCCAGCAATAGTGTTGGACCTATTGAACCGTATCAATAGCTCTCAAGATAAGATGGAACAACTTTATTGCACAAAAATGACATGCAGGTTAGGCCTGAGGCTTTGTAAACAAATATGCTAAATCTGGATAAGGACGGCATGGTTTTTATCTTCAACACTGATTGTGATGTTTTCAAAGGGGTAAACAATAGGAATTTAAGAATTTCGGTCCAGAATGCATCACGATATGAGACGGAGGGGTACCCCCCCCCCCCATCTCCATAAATACCCTAATCCTTATGCAAACTCTACACTATTGTTACCTAACACATCCCCCCCCCTCCCAATATCTCAAAAGAATTCCTGAGATTCTGGTAACACAATGACCAACACAAAGGAGGGGGTTCCCTGCCATACTGACAAACACTTGAATTTAAAAAAAAAAAAAAAAAAAGGAATTCATAGATTCAGAGGAAATTCGATCCTCATTTGCCCAAGGCAATGAGGAGTTTCCTCAATCTTTGAATTCCTTTTTATAATAAATTTCCTGATTTGAGCTTTTACATGTCAAAACAAAACAGCTGTAATATTTGGATACAGAATCATCATCCAACTATTACAGCTGTTTTGTTTTGACATGTAAATCTCGAATCAGGAAATTCATTTTGTTGTAACTGATCCAGTTTATCTACAACTCTCTGTACATTATTTTGAGTTCCATTGTTCATGTACATCATCAAAACAATAGCTGTTCGCTTCAGAAAATGAAAATAACATATGAATCACATGAACTCTAACATCACAATACAATAAATTGACTTTTTTAGATCGAAATAGATTATTGCGGTACCAACACGAGTGCCTGTTGTGGGATATTGCACAAGGGATAATGAACGTTACACAGCATGTGACAATGCATGACAATATGAGTCACGTCACATGACTTGTTTTTCTCCCGCAACCCATCAGCAAATTTGCACATCGCTGCCGAGATTACACTCGAAAACAGCACAATTGTTGGCAAAACCTTTCAAAGGTTGAAGTGCAACAACTTGTACTACTGATAGGCAGAGAAGTGTGCAACAACTTGACCTTGTTTGCAAGACCGTGGCATCATGGTGTAATCATCACAGATTAGGGGTCAAAGGTCAAGTTCGTAATCAAAATAGCCACACAACTGTCTTGTGATTACGCATGTGGTTTCCGTTTTGGTTTCAGTGGTTCGGTGTAAACTTGTACTTGTAGCACTTATTTTAATATGAATATACAACATTTGCTTTTGGTTTCATTTTCAGAAATGGATGGATTTGGGGGTCAGTATTTTATAGCAAATATTGTTACACTGACTTGTTTGAAGTTTTGGGTTCGTAGATACTGGAAAAACCAAGAAAAACAATCATGTTACTGTAGGCTGGTTCCCTGACCCCATTTAAGATGAAACGGAGCAAGTTATAGACGTCGAGGAATTGTGAGGTTAGGGAACCAGTCTAGCTGGCTTGTACCCATTCATAGGTGTGAAACCGAAACTAAATATGGTACATTGGGAGCAGCCTTGGAAATTGATACACAAGTACAGCTTTTCTGGAAAATGATAGCACACCAGGTGTCATGATTTTACAGGATGCTTTAGACAGTCCAGTGAGGTATTTCATAATAATGTGGGTTTTTTTTTCTGATGTTTGCAAATGTTGTATATATTCCCTTTAACAAACAAATCTGTGGCCATGTATGGCAAGCACTGAAGGATCCAAACTCAGGGGAAATAATGGCAGAAAAGTATGCCACAGTACCATGTACTTATTTTCTTTTTTTGAGTCATGCATCTTTCTGAAAAGAACAGGGCCCACTGTCATGGGTCTGCTAACCACAGAATTCCGTGCTTACAATCACCACTTTGTGCTAACCACGCTAGCAGAAATAAACAGTGCTAACCCTGTAAGCACAAATCCTTAGTTACGGGATGTACGCGTGCTCAGAAGCCAAAATTCCTCGCTAACCCGAGAAATACGCTTAATTTAAGCACAAAATTTTCTGCTACAGTAAGCAAGGATTTTTCGCCAACGGTAAGCTGAGCCATGGTAATAGGGGCCTGGTAAACCGTGCTTGCTCTAGATAGAACATGAGCACAGCATTGTTAAAAAAAAAGTCAAATCATGTGTCCAAACTGCAGGGAGAATTTGGAACTTTGTTTTTCAGGGACTTTGGGTTTTTTTATTTGGGGGGGGATTTGAAGTTTGCAAGATAAAGGCACTTTGTGAATAAAATTGTCTCAAGCCTCGCCATCTTAGATCCTTCAGAATCCACCAGGTCCTGGAGGACCTTGCGGGAATAAGAAATGGTAGAGCTCTGCTGTTATTAAATTACACAAGACTTAATACACATGAGGCAAGCTATTTAACATGGGCACAGGAGGTCAGCGCGACGGACCAACACTGTCGTTACGGCTGAGTGAGTGAGTGAGCGATACATGTGTTCCCCTTCGAAGTTCAATTACAAACAGATGTGCCATTGGGTTCCTGCACAGTGGAGGACTCAGGAGGGTTCTTAAGAAAGTGCAAGGAGAGTTGGGGTTAACGTGGAGTGTCATGGCCTAGTGGTTAAGAGCACCGGACTCATGTTCTGGTGTTTCAGAGGCAACAGTGACGTGGGTTCGAGCCCAGGCGTGGACACTTGTGCCCTTAAGCAAGGCACATAACCATTCTTGCTTCGTCCTTCGGATGGGACGCAAAGCCGTAGGTCCCGTGTGTTGTATTAGGCCTAACGCACCTAAAAGAACCCAGTAACGCTTATCGCTAAGAGAAGGGGTTCGCCCCAGTGTTTCTGGCAGGAAGGATATGTATACCCTGCCCGTGTGACCCCTGAGAAGGGGTGTTGGTGCAGTATTCATCAAGGCAAGATACAAGAACGGCCAAACTGGCACGTTAGACAAGTTTGATGTCTCCGGTGCAGTATTTGCAGCAGTTGATGGTCAGGTTTTCATACTTGGTCTGTGGATGGAAGCGCTGTGCTACGTTAGTCTTTGGTACAGGTCCTGATGCTGCTGGCAATGATGAAGATGATGGGGGTATATATGCGGTTGATGCTGACGATGGTAACGTGTGCATTCGCTCAAGCTTCAGGGCTGGTTCTCGGTTTAACAGAATCTGAAACAAAACAAAATATTTAAGTAATTAATAATAATAATAATAATAATAATAATAATTTGGGAGGCTAATCATCCTTACTCGCAGCTGGTATGCTGAATTGCGAAGGACGCGGCTACAACGTGGTTGGGCCGCTGGCACGTAAAGGCGCCTATGGCTGCCGGCCACATCGACCCATATATGACCAAGGAGCACAGCCTGAGATCGAAGGTGTTTGATTTTTCCGGAGGGAGGAAAACCGGAGGGCCCGGAGAAAAACCCTCGTGGCACAGGAGAGAACCAACGCACAACTCTACTCACATGCGATCCGCGGCCAGGATTTGAACCGTGGTCACCTTGGTGAGAGGCGAGCGCTTTACGCACAAGCCACCCATGCCACCCAATGGTTAACCTATTTATCTGCAAGAACATAGATTCTTCAGGTCGTGGCTGGGGGCAGTCCTCGAGCAGCATGGGCCCCTCTGATTCTCTCCCTCTAGTTGGATCGGTGCTCCATGCAGGAGCTCAGGTCGTCAGTCGTGGGGACTGCTGTGTCTCTCTTCAGGACGTCGGTGCAGGTCATCCTCCTCTTGCCTCTGGATGCCTCTCGCAGAAAATATCCCCAAACTAGAAAGCCTTGAAATGTATTTTACATTGACTGTTTTGACTGAAAACAGCCTGGGAATACCAGGATGCTGACATATGAGAAGTCTGGTTTAGGCTAGCCAAAGGGGAAGGTAGTTACTGTTAGGTCAAGCTGCATTATTTATTTTTTGGACTCACATCTTTTGCAAGCATTTCTGCGGATGTCCACTCCACAAAGTCAAACTGTGAGGTGGTCTTGGGCTGCGAGTGGCCCACGTCCCCCAGCAGGTGCTTGGAGATCATGGAGGACACCTGTTCGTTGAGTAAGGCCAAGGTGAGGACGTTACTTGATGTCTTGGCTTCTTCTGAGAGACTGTGAGATCGCTGCAAGGCATTGGAGAGGTAGTGGAGCAACCTGCGAGAGATTGTTGAAGGAGAAAGAGCGAAGCATTGGTTTACTGCACAGTAGCTGGGTTTTCGATATTCAGGGAGCCCTCTACCAAAAGATCCACCCTAACCCTCTCGGATCATTCGAATTCCACCAGGGGGTTTGAACAATTCAGCAGGCAGAGGCTTCAGTGTTAAACCTCTTCCAACATCACAAAATGCCAGGACTGGTGAGCTCTATTTGTGCCAACCTTGCCATCTTTGTGTGGACCTGCAAACAAAACAGCTCCACACGATGCAGGTTGTGTGAACCTTCTGTGGACTAAGCCAGGTCCACACAAGGTTTCCCCCTCTCTGGAAAACAGGATTAGAGGCATTTTTTGGGTTAGGGTTATCTGTCACAAAATGAAGAGGATCACTCAAGGAAATCATGACAAAAAAATTGGGTTGAAAGAGTATTGACACTGCGAGTGAAATAAGTTTTTTTCTCCGTTTTTTTTCTTAACTACACAAGGACAAAGGAATGTCCACACTAGGTATGTATTAAAGGTAGGCCTGGTATGTGAGTTTGTTTCTGCATTCAATAGGGGACGTTGAACAATAGAGGACAATAGGGTCCACAATCCCCGAAGGTCCTCAATTGATGAGTGTACAAAATATATGGGAGGTGTTCCTAAAATGTTAGCGTACCAACAAAGAGGGACAATAGGACGTCCATGATCGACGGTGTGAACACGACGGTGTGTGTGTGAATTTTTACAGCACAATTACTGATGAAGGGTTACTTGCACTTTAGACAAACATGGTGAATGGTCAGTTAATGTCCACTGTCCCAAATGTGATTTCCTCCGCAAAATGCAAATATCAACAGGATATGTCTGTTGATTTGTTCATGTTTTTTTTCTGGACTTGAACCAACCTTTGGGTGTGCATCATGTGCGATCTGATTTCGTCTCGTTCCTCCAGGATCTTTCGGAGAGCAAAGCAGGCTTCTTGGAGAACCATGTCTAGACGGGTGCGTGAGGAAACGGCTTCATCCACCTGTAGTCTGTGAGGGTGTCAAGAAAGAAGATTTATTCTTCAAACCCTAACTCCCCAGGGAAGTTTGCCTGGAACCCTGCCAAACGCAACCACCTGCAACAGTTGGAAGCCTGTCCAGTGTAAAAAAGATAACAACCGGTCAAAGATTCCAAGGCCCCAGAGTCTCGCTTTTCACACTAGAGCCTCTCAACCTGGGTTGAACTCAACCCTGGGTGAACCCAGTGCCACCCCGGGTTGAGTGTTTGATTTTTGAACACCGTGTTCAACACCACACTTTTTCTATGCAAACTAAGCTTATTTCGCTCGGTCACTACTGTTTGGAACCATGGTGAAAATCTCAACCCTGGTCTGGAGCAGAGTTGAGTTCAACCCGGGGAGAAATCAATCGCAGGGTTGACGCAGGGTTAAAGATATAGTCCATCATTTGTAATTTGTGCATTTTGTTCGTTTGAAGCAACAAAAGTGTTCAAAATCTACTGAAGGATACTGAACAACTAACCTGATGAAGTTTCAGCTCAGCTTCAGCTGTATACTCCGAGAAAAACAGCATTCTAGGATCTCAATTTCAAATCAAAAGTTGCTGAATCATGTTTTGAATTGGGCCTGAATTCAGCGTCCGAGACGCGTTCTCACTGAGCCGATTGCAGCTATACGCGATGTCGCGCACTGATCCGACGAATAGCAACCGCGCGCGCATGTGCGTCGTGCCAATGCTTGCGCGCCCTTTGCCGAATAACAAAACGAACTACGAATTTAAATTTTCCTACGGTGCGTCTTAAGACGCACCGTTGGAAAGGCCTTCCTTCGTTGATTACTTCAAAATGACATCTTGCCAGAAAGAGTTTAGTCCCCTTACTATCTTTCAACCAAGTATGTTTTTCAACAATAATTACACTAGTTACTTTTCGGATGGCTGCAAATGATGGACTATAGCTTTAAACATTTTCAAGTGTGAAATGCCGCATGTTTCAACCCTGGGCCAACCCGGTGTCAACACCGCGATTTGTGTACTGTGACAAGACTAAAAGAGTCCATGGTGGCCGACTGCAACGGGACACAACAGGAACATTGTAATAATGGGACCAGCTCCCAACGTCTTAGATTGTATTGTACCTGCTGCCTAGGAATTTACTCCTCCACACATCACACTGGATGTTGACTCTCTCCAGCGTTTCGCGCTCCTCCGCTAGCGTCGCGATTGTGTTCTCCAGGTCTTGGCCGAGCTGAGCGCGCTCAGTAGACAGGTGCTCCAACTGGGCCTGTAGGTCCGCCCCCATTGACGCAACTAGAAGCTTTTTCAGGTCTTTATTGACCTGTGGAGTATTGGGTTTGCAATGATAACAAATGGTAGAGTAAGGAGCATGGAGGTACATGTGAACCATTGTAGTATTTTGGTTAATACAATGTACTATACTATCCAATTCCAATAATGAATTCATTCATTCATTCATTCATTCATTCACTTCAGTTTTATTGTTAAAAAAGATGGTGACCAAAGAAAAAGTCCAAGGACTAAAAATATTTGGTTTACAGTAATAATCTATATTTACAATGACTGCTAAGCATTACATACATATAAACAGTAAAGCTTGAACAGATAAAAACAATAACAGTGACTAACATTACAGATAAAATCTGAGTAATGAAAATAGAATAAGATAGGAGGAACAATTACATGTACATGTATATGAACACCTAAAATCCACAACTACTGAGAGTTAATTAATCTGATCATAGAGGGGACAGGAGATTGTTTATATCTCCGAGTATTGATACGATTCAAGACAGCTATCGCAGTGATCAAAATCAATCAAGTGACTGCTTTTAATAGTTAAGAGCTCCCAGCCTACGTAAAGCAGGATTGACTGGCTGTGACTGTTTATGTAATTCGATACAGCTATGCTTTGACTGGAGGTGATTGATAAGCCAGCTGTACCTGCCAGTTACTTGCTTTTGTCTGTTGATGCAATTTGACTAGTCACGGTACTTGATGGAAATAAGATCCGACTGTTGGTGACTAGCCTACGTATGAAGGCATGGCAGGGGAAGAGGACTGATTTTTGTGACTGTCTGTGACTGTTCAGATTATATTGCTCAGGCATGCAACTGGAAATTTAGAGGAAAAAAACGAGGAAACTCCAAACCACACCAGACTTTGTACAGTGTTTTTCAATTTGTAATGGCATTAACGAGAAGTAAAAAACAAAGAAATCAGCGGATCAGAGGAAAGTTGCATGCCTGATTACTGTACTACTCTACTGTATCATGTGTTCTTTCTACACCAAGGGTGGATCCAGAACCACTTTTTTTGGGGGGGGGGGGGGGGGAGAGAGGGGGAAAGAGGGCTCAAGTTTTTTTTTTCATAAAGGGGAAGGGGATTAAGTATATAATAAAAGTAATATTGACACTACATGGTGTGTGTAGCTGATGGCTTGTGAGGGATATACCCAACATTTCAATATATTTCCTGAAAATTAAAGACAAAAAGAAGTCTTCGCTCCTCTGATTGGGGGGGGGGGGGGTATGCCCCCCCCGCCTCCGGATCCGCCAATGTTTTACACCCACCTGATTTTGAACGGCCGCTTCTGACACCATCTCTGCCTTCTCATCCTTTAATCCTCTCATCTCGACCTCCAACTTTGATACTTGTTCCTTCAACTTTTCATTTTCTTTGATGGCTTCTTCCAGCTTGGCGCAGACGTCCTGCCGTCCATTTCCAAAGACTGAAGTGCCCCCGAGAGGTGATGGGCTTTGGGGCCTGACATCTCGCTGACGATTCCGTTCCACCAGGGCCACATCGGTGGAGTTGCGATTTTTACCGTCAAAGAAGGCTGGACGAGTGAGGCGGGGAGTCGCTGTTGCTATTCCAGCGGGTTCACTGGAGCTGGTGGCATTTTCTTTCCCATCTCCCTCCAGTCTGGGAAAAGCGGGGGATGTTCCATCTGGCATGAATAGGGAGGGGAAACAAAAATGAATTCAATAACAAAATAAATCAACAATCAATCAGTACCTTTAAGCATCATTGTGAGACTGAGGTGACTTGTTTCTGTACTTGAAATATTTGCAACAATAAAAACAAAAAAAATAAGTAAACAATTTGAAATTTTAGTATTAAAGACAAATAGGCCTTCTACTAGGTGGAGGCAACTTTGCGTGACCTCTGATCAACGCGAGGTGAAAATATTTCTCAGTCAGCGTTATTACAGGTTCTTCAAAACGAAAAAAATCTTCATGATTTTACTTGAAAGTTGAAATGAAAGTTCCGGTCTAGTACAAAAGTTTATAAATAATCAGACAACGACCTACTTTTATTATGCCTTTTAGTTTTATGTACATCTGTCATGCATGTCACGTCTGTATGAAACTGAAAGTGCATTTTAAATGAGACTTTGTTGGAAATAAGTCTGAAACCCGATGGAAAGAATTCCATACACGGCCTCCACTCATATTCCTTAACCCTAACTCCCTAGGGGGTGTGCAAAATCGTATTGAAATTGGAGGATTCAGGACTGTTAGGGCTATTAAAGCCCTCTTGATAGGCTAATCAGAAAGTGCTGCCTTCTTCAGATGTCTAATTTTCGTGAAATTGCATGTTGAACAGTTGAAGTTTTGATTTCCAAACGTGTGCAAACGAATCTGGAAATTTCACGAAAAATAGACATGTTAATTTCTAATTAGCATATAAAGAGGGTGAGCAGGGTGAGTATGCTTGTAAAGCAAAAATAAACTAAAAACTAAGCCTAAATGTGAAAATCAAAATTTGACAAAGTTCGACTTGTTTTTGTACATGGTGGAAGTGTGGCCTTTATTTACGAAGGTAGTCCAGTAAATTGGCCACAACAAAAAGCAAGACAAGTGTAAAGTGTAAGTTTTCTTTACAAAATAGTTACCTCTATTTATCGACTGTCCGTGACTGAAAATGATGTTATCCAAATTTCTTTGGTCCATTGATGTTAGATATACGAGATGATGGTCAGCGTTTGCTTGATTAATAAATATGAATGACGATAAATCTTCGGTAATTTATAGAACTTTAGAAGTTAGAACAGCGCAAGATCCGTCATATCCGCCGACGTGGGCGCATCCATTTTAGATAATGCCGCCCTCTACAGTCAAATCTATCGCTAGGGGTGGGGTTTGTAAGAGGGTGGAGTTTGTTAGATGGGTTGGGGCTTACCTGTGGGATTTTTGGGCGTAGTGTCTTCGCATCGATAACGATGTTTTCTGAATGAAAAAGCACAAGAGCTAAACAAAAGCAGAAAGAAGTGATCAGTTCAAATGTGGAAACAACAGGGAAACTAGGACACGCCCCCAATTAGGGACCATTGAATAGCGCCCTCTAGTGTAGAATTGAATCGCCTTATCTTAATCTTGTACCTAACTCCATCATGCTCAAAATCTATTACACCAGGATATCTAAACCGCGGAGCCAGCCTAAAAACGTAAATGACGAAAATAA